TTCTCACTTTTTTTTGGAACAAACTTCGCATATACATTGGCGTTCAATATTAAGAAAATTTTCACATTTGGTCCATTACCTCTAGAACTGACAAACATATTTTAATGACCTTAGGTTTTATCGGATTTGATTTGATTAGAGGGTGTGGCCCCAAACACATATCCAAAATATTTATCCGTCGGACCAGTTAAAAATAAGATATTTTATTAAGATGGCGCCAGTTAAATTTAGTAAATGGTCTACATAATCTTGAAGCTCATCCTTCTCCACATAATATGACAATTAAATATTTGAGCAACAATTTAAATTCGTTACATTTTAAAGAATTTTAAAATCTAAGCAAGTGCAAAGACGATAGGATTATTTTATTCGTTAACATAGATAAACATAACATGACACATTAAATTCTCTTTACAAAATCTACAGCGTCACAATCTCTTTATGAAATCTACAGCGTCGTAATCATCTACATAATCTTGAGACCCATCCTTCTCCACATAATATGACAATTAAATATTTGAGCAACAATTAATTTGAATTCGTTACATTTTAAAGAAACTTAAAATCTAAGCAAGTGCAAAGAAGAAAGGATTATTTTAGGCGTTAACATAGATAAACATAATATGATACAGTAAATTATCTTTATAAAATCTACAGCGTGATACTATGCGGGCTATCACAGGAAGATGTCGGTGATTCAGGTGAACTCAAATTGTACAAAATACTTCATTTTTTAATAAATCCGAACTTTAAAAAGTTTGAGTTAAAATCTTTAACGAATTTTTAAGTTAAGATGTGACAACTTAGAATGAAGATAAGTCCCAAAGATATGATCGTCGAATATCTCGAATTTTTTTTATTTTATTAGCCCAAAAGTGCAATTTGCCCTGAAGGGCTATTAATTTCGTTTCGGCATTTTGCGTTGATTCACTATAAAAGGCGAATCACTTTTTAAATTGTTACCACCAAATATTAGTGCCCTGTATTGTATTCAGAGAAATTAAATAATGAAGAATCTGCATAAATGTATGTATGTTTCTAGCATTGTGATAAAACAACGGTACCTAAAGCCATAGAATTTTCAATAAAGTAATCTTCCACGGAATATGGGCATTTGGAAGCCCAAATTTGGAATTTGGAATTTGTTTTATTATTTATTTTATATTTTGTAAAGCATTTATGAGTTTTTGATTAAGAAATTCAACGATTTCAAAGCCAGCAATGGCAACACCGTACGAAAAAAAATTTTTTTTTTATCTCTAGCTCTCGAAACTGTGTATCGGAAATTCTAAAGATATGCTGTTTTAAATATTTTGTGCTATTGCTGCTGAATTGAATTTTATGGTTTAAGTACGAAGGAAATGATGTTTAATAAGTAACGGTAACACACAAAACGTTAAAAAAACGCCCCTTTTGACGTAATATAAAATCTGAAGGCCTTTCAGACTTCTTTTTAATTTTATTTTTAAGATTTGTTGGGTTCGAAGCTTCGAATACCTCCTCCTTGATAAAAGCTCTTTTGGAATAGGAAAAAAAAAATTAAAATTATACATCTCACAAATATTTAATTCCAAACTTACACAAGTGAAATTCAATCACTCCATGTTAACCGTCTCAGTAAAAATAAAGTTAACACTTAAAAACGGTTGCAAAATTCCACTGGCAAACGAGACTCAAAAATTTCTGTTCCCTGCAAACGGAATAGGATCAGCTAATAGAAACATGACCCTAATTCCCAAGTGACATATTCCTGAAAAAAGAAAGTGGCCGAAAATTCGAGTTCATACATAAATCATGAAGACATCCTATTTGACATTATAACTTGGCGTGTGATAATATTATACCGCTCCTGCTGATTCTATTACCCGCACTTTCCACTAGATGGCGCTACGGTAGAAATCTGGAATTCATCGCCAACCACATATCGGTTGCCTCAAGAGGTGAAAAGGAAATAAGGTACACGCTGAGTCTGTGTACATAATTATGCTTCGAGCGAAAAAAACCATGCTGTTGCATGGGAACAGGTACACAAACTTGGAAAATAACTGCAAGATATGACGCGTTTCCTTTTTTAGTACGCCTACTGAAAGGCATTAAAATGTTGCATATTATGACACGGAAATAAAGGGTCTTCTTTGAAATTGTGCTAGCTACGTCAGAGTTTATCTTTTCATGACGTAATATGTCCATGTTTGGTAAAGTTTTTCATAAATGAGTTGTTCATTCAGAATTTTCCGAAAATGAACTGTTCGTGCGTAAGAATAGTCCATGCACTAATTGAGATTATCTTCTAAAGAAAGTGCAATATGTTGTTACAAATCTATTGCATTACTATAACTGCTGCCCTTTTAAATAAGTATGTAATATTATCATTTTATGCCTACAATAGAAACACTATTCGATAAGGAAGCAATGATAAATTTATTGCAATATACAACGCATTGTATAGAAGATGTACAAAAAAAAAAAAAAAACATTTTGTCATGGATTTTGTATTTAGTTATTTATTTTTGGTAGAATTGAAATTAAAATTGTTTTTTGCTTCCCCGTGTAATGCAGTGCGTGATGAGTTTTCACAGAAAGCTTCAACGAAAAGTAAAAATACAGGAGCAAGCGCATTTAATAAATAGATATCTCGTAATTTTTATTTAAATTGAAATAAATTGAATAAATTACAGTTACACAGGGACCGCAACAAAATGTCGCGAAGCGGTCACCCTTTTAGCGACACTGATTTCTCGCCAAAACTGTCGCCAGCTGGGCAGTATCTCGCCAATATAGCAAGATACCAATTTATTGATTGTTAGTAGACTTGCCCCTGTGTTGTTATTTTTCCGGTAGAGCATCGTCTTTTTGATTAAACAAAAAATTCAACAATTTCACATATAATTTCACTAAAATTATTTACATATGTATAAAATTCGTGACAATATTATGATAAATAATACCACATTTCCTGACGTATTCCCTCCCTTAGCTTTTTATTGCTAATTTTTAAAATCTCAATTTTTTTTTTAAATATTCGCATAATTTTCTCCTTCCTCTTCCGTACATAATTATCCACTCTGTTGGCTATTTTATTAGTAAACTGTATTCCCTTGATAGTTTTTACTTTTATTCAGTGTATTCAATTTTTGTTTGCATTTATATATTAGCATTTCATTTATTTTATTTTCCCTAGCATTTATTGATTTTGAAACATAATTTGTGCAGATTCTTCTTTAAGCTACCCGGACATGACAGGTCTTCTCACACTTAGGAAATTTTTCACCTTACTTCTATTATTTACATCCTACGCCCCACTTTAGTAGTAGTTTGTAGCCTTATCTCCATACCGATGTATTCAATCTTTCGAAACCCGGATGTTTTGTTCGCTCGACGGTTCCTTTTATATATATATATATATATATAATTAGAAAAACAGTTTTATAAAAATATATATAATCATGCCTAGTATTTTCGCGCATTAAGCTGCTAGAAAATTATCAGTAAAGACATAAAGTAAGAAATTTAGAACCAATTCTTCACAAAAACCGAAAATTGAAATTCATAATTAGTAAATTTCAAATAATTCTATAAAGGCAATAAAGAATTTAACAAATATTAAAGCCAAAGCTCTTCAAAAAAGCAATACTCCAATTCAAAAAATCAAAGAAATTTAAAGAAAAAAAGAACATAATAAAAGAGGAATTCAATCACCTTCAATGACACTTCGTCAGGAGGAGGAACACTGAAATCCATTGAAATCACTCTTCTACGAAACTCCTTGCTTTTCTGTATCCAGAATTAGCCGATGAACCATTTCAATGTATTTTAATTATAATAGTTCACTCGAAAATTATGTCCCCTCCCCGAAGCAAGAAAAGTAAATTCTAATTAAAATCTTGCATCTTAAACAGAGAGAATTCTAATCAAAGAATTGAAAAGTAAGCGAAATAATAAAATACTTTAGTGAAAAATTCAAATTTTACATATCTTTTTGCAGCATTATGCGCAAAAAATTTTTAAGACTAAATTGGTCTTACGTCTCATTACTTGTTAGCTTTACAATTTCTGTTTCAATTATATTCTTAGAAACTTATATATATAAGGAATATATATATATATATATATCTAAGGAATATATTTCAAATTTTTAAAAAAATTTTTGTAGCGAAAAAGTTTCAATTGTCTGTTTCGGCGAAACTCGTAATGGGGTTAGCTTGATTCGACATTCAAATAAATTAAATTTCCCTTGAAAAGCCAGTTTGGAAGTCGAGTTGGGCTAATTTACCATTTTCCGCTTACTTTTTTTTTATCTGATTCTGTTTTTTTAATGTTTTACATGTTTAATGGTTTGATTTTCATATGTGTTAATTTTTTAAAACGTGTTGAACTTTTTGGAGCAGCAGCTCTTGGTGACTTTTAGGCAAGCTTACTACAATTTTTATATTTTACTTATTTTGCAGCATATTGCGCAAGATGTTTTCTAGACCAAAATTAGTTTTTCAAAATTGTAATTACTACCTTGCTTGATATATATATAAGGAATATATATATATATATTCAATATAAATATTCTAATTTCGTACCTTCATTATTTTCATAGAGATCTCGACGGATTTCAAAATTAAGTAACTCCGCCTTTATTATTAAGTAACTCTAACAAGAATCGCATTTACTTGTTAATAAATAACGTATAAATGACGAATGACGTAGCAAAAGATGAAGCACGTCATCAAGTATTTCAAAACCTGTTATTAGCTTGTCAAATTTCATTTAACCTCTTGTCATCGACATCTGATCCAATGATGGTTTCTTCATTCTTTTTATTAATGATGAAGCATGTGTATATCGATTATCAAATTATAAGCAAGATTAATTTGATAGCTTAATTATAGACAAATGAAATATTTAAAGAAACTCTTCCTTTATTGGAAATGGATGGGAAATTGCTTCACGTTACTAATTTGATTTTAAATGATTCAGTTTTTGAAAATTATGTTCTTTGTTTTTTACAGGGGCAAAGCTGTCCAACAATGCACAATTCCTTATTTTATCAAGGTAAGATGTTTTTTACTTCTTATTTTGATAGGAATAAACTATCACGAAAAAGATGCATAGTTTGTAGTGGCTCAAATTTTAAAATATATCGCATGCAGACAATTAAAAGATATCAATCTTTTTTCTTTTCTGAAGTTTATTTTTTTAAGAATGGCAATAGTAAAAATGGAGAAGAGAATTTTTCGAATCCATTTGCACTTTATAAATTAATAAAATTATTCCCTACGATAGCGAAGAACTTAAATACATTTTTAGAACTTTTGAAACTAAAATTACCTTTTTTTTTAATAAAAAATACTTATTAGATGTAAAAATCCATAAATGCATCAAGAAAGGCTAGATAAAAATACAGAATAGTTGGAAAATTTTGTAGGTATTTCTAATTACCGTTACCGTATATTCCGGCGTATAACGCCCAGCGGTGTACAGCGTGTACCTATAATTTCAAATTACATTTATTAATTTTTACGTATAAAAGCCGTATAACGCATACGCTTTTCTTTAGGAAGAAACTGGAAGATAAACGTGCGATGCTCTTATCATTTGAAGTCTTTCTTTCGAAGTTTTTTCCCTCGCGTTCGAACAGTGGTATACTGAACTGACAAACGATAAGGGGACCAATAAGGGTGTGGGTGGATGTGCTCAAGAGAGTAAATAATTCTGCGAAAAGAGTGGGTAGTAATTGATTCAGGTGTGCTCAAGAATGTTATTCTACAATTTTAAGAAAAAGGGGACAGAATTTGGGGTAAGAATGCCGTTCCAACCTGAGTGAATTCGCGGAATTAGGAATCAGAGGATTTTTGTAGTCATTTGAAACCGTGATTCTAAACTAAACATCAAAGGCTTTAATGTTGATCTACTGTTCTGTTTAGGAGTAAATACGACTGGTGCTAAACAGAACAACATGATGCTGGTTTCAGTGGCAAAGGTCATTCAGTTTGCGAAAGAAAATGGAAATTGTCCAAAAGGGAGGATTTTTAGCGTTGATGAAAGATTGAATGTATGACGGTTATTTACATATGCAGCAAAATAACAATGATGGTGAAGATGAAATAGAATTTGATGATGTGCCTGAAGATATGGTGAAGATGAAATAGAATTTGATGATGTGCCTGAAGATATAATGGAAGACGAACATGACGAACTTTTCATGTTATCCGATAATGAGAATTTTTAAGTTCATAAGGTTGTGCCATTTCTTGTAAATAAACAGCTTTTGGTACATGTAAAAATCTAATTTTTGTATGTTTATTGTTTCCTTATTATCATATGGCTAATCTTTAGAATATGGTAACAGGTAGTTTGGCGACATTTTGGTAACGCGATAAAGGTTACTAGCTAGGACTTCTAGTCAATAAGCAATAATCTGAGAAATACACAGTTCGAATCACAGATTATTTTGTCTCAGAGAAATGAGAGATCATGAGACATGTCATGTGACATTTTCCGAAAAATTCCGATCGTGATTTTAGCTAATAAGCACTTAGAAACAATTTCGCTGCTAAAGTGCAGAATCGCCCACTTATTTGTTTGGCGCTTTTTACAAGAGTGAAAAGAATTGGGTTTTTGTCAATTTTCTTTGCCTTTTTAAGTGAAAATAGGTCGATGTGTTTGTTCACAGATACATTCATTCAAATTCAAGAGTGTCCGCAATGCCATTTTTGTGCAATTCTGAGATGTTTTTTTTAAGTGAAAATAGGACGACGTGTACATGGTATGACTGCTTAAACGCGCGCAAGTTCTTTAAAACGCGGCAAGCATTTTGCGATCTGCACTTTCTCCCAATTTCGCACCTAATCTTCGTCATGATTAAGCATTTTTGTTCCATAAAAGTTCTAGTATAAGCGTAATTTGGCTAGCAGATTGTCGGAAAAAATGTTGAGTAAAAAACAAAAACACATGCCTTTACTTCGTTAAAACGCAATGGCGTCCAAAACAAAACTAGCAGGTTGCTGTAGCAGAGTTTGTCGCCAAATTTTCGCCAAAAAATCCCCAAGTTACCATAATGCAAAGATTCACCTATCATTTTTACATTTTTATCAGATAGTTCAGTTTTATGTCTAAGGCCATTTCGGAAATTAAGTCAATTAGGATGCAATCACAGCGCTTACCCGAAGCCGAAAATATAGAAAAGGTAAAGTTAAGGGTTAAATTCATCAATTCTAACGAGAATGCATTAGCGAAGTAAGGCACTGCAGTTTTACATAATTTCTGAGTAAGCTATTCGTACGAATTGAAATATTTCTTGCATTTAAACTTGTGTTCCAAATTAAGATTTAACTTGAAATTAATGCAGATAATTACTGAGAGCATTAGATTTTTGTAGAGTAATTTACGCGAGATGAGATCGCTTGGGGTCACGTGATATAAACCGGCGAATCAGGATGTTGAACCATGAAAGCATAGTAAATTCTTCAATTAATGTCTTTTTGCAAATTTATTGTCTTTATTTATTGGCTTTTTACAAAATTTTAAGCGATATTAAATGTTTAGGTCTTCAAAAAAAGAATTCTTAGAACTAACATTTTTTTCATATTTTTTATGTGTATACTGTATGTTGTCGCCAATAAAGTCTATTTGGCGAGATTTGCGCCGGCGAAACGGAAAAGTACCAGGTCATTAATTTAAATTTCCGAAACGATTACTAAAATATACATTTTCGAAAGCATCAATAATCTAAGTGGCTTTTTTGATTTTATCAGATTTTTATATATCTAAGTGTCTTTATATTTCATGTCTGTATTTCTCTGCCTTACTTATTGTCTTATTCTCTGTAATATTTCACCTTTTTATTTGAGGTCTTCCAAATGTGGAAAAAATTTTAATTTATGAATTTAGTTTTTAAAATATTTAACTCTCTTACCAGAGTGCTATAAAATCGTTTGCTTTCTTATCATAATTCTGTAAAGTATTTTATAGAATTATTTATCTCTCTTATATTACTTAACAGATACTCTGAGCAGAGTATTATTTTCTTAGAGAGTATTATATAACTCTCTTAGCATAGTGCTATGAAACCGTTTGCTTTCTTAGGATAATTCTGTATATTTTATTTAAAGGTTTGTAAATCACAATCCAAGTTATTTATTCTCAGCCGATACAGATAACATTAGTCAGAAACAATTTGTTAGAATTATACTAAGCTGTGAAATTAGAACTATTGTTTACATGCATTTATATTTAGCTTTAAAATTTAACATTTACACAGTATGTAGTATTAATATACTTTGTGACAATATAGTAGAAAAATATTTTCCGTTTCACCTGTTGTGAGTCCAAAGAGGCAATTTGCCTGGAAGGACTATTAATTTCGTTTTGGCATTTTATGTCGATTCACGATAAGCGTTGTTTCACTTTCCAAATGTTTTTCGCCAAATATTCTCACTTTGTATTATATTTTAAAAAAATTACATAAAGAAGAATCTGCAGGAATGTATGTATGTTTCTCGCACTGAAAACAACGGTACCTAGACTCCTCAAAATTCGAATAACGTAATTTTCCATAGAATTTGAAGATGTGGAAGCCCTAATTAGAATTTGAAATTTGTTTTATTACCTACTTCATTTTTTGTAACACTTCAACGAATTTTTGATTAAAAAACTAAACGATTTCAAAGACAGCAATGGCAACACTGTACGGGGAAAAAAATAATTATCTCCAGCGCGCGAGACTCTGTATCGGAAATTCTAAAGGGATGCTCATTTTAAAATGATTTTGCTATATTGCTGTTGAATTGAATTTTATGGTTTAACCCGAAGAATATGACATTTGATAAATAAAGATAATACACAAAATGGTAAAAAAAACGTTCCTTTGGAAGTAATTTAAAATCTGAAACTTTCTGATTTATTAATCATATTTAAAACTGTTATATTTTAAAATTAGTGTTGTTGAAAACGTTTATTCAATACGCTTTTATTATAAGGTGATCAAAAAAGTTTAAGCCGAATTTCTCTGTCGAATCTTAGCATTTCCTATTCCAGCACTCAGAATAATCGAAAAATTTCCTCTGAAAATTAACATGCAAAAATTGTATCAAAATCTATTATAAATAAAATTATAAATTATATTTAAATATTATTTGTTAAAAACAAAAACACATAATTTTATGTACTCTGTTATTAAATGGAAGTAACACATTGAAGATATTGGTTGCTTAATTAAATAGTTTTATAAAGATAATTGTAAGAAAGAATCTCCCTCGAATTTCTTCGCAGTGTTGTAGACCCGTGTACCACAAACTAATTCAGTAAAATATTTTTACTTTTAATTACTTTGTTTTAAAGTTAATTATATACTTACTCAAAGCTTGATTAAAAAAACTTTTCGCTTGCGGGTAAGTTGCGATGAAACTGAGAAAATTAAAAATTGTCCACTCTCAAGCTATGTACTCGTGCTGCCATCTTGTGTCAAATGAGCGAGTTAAAGTTAATTCAGCAATTCTTTAGCTTCTTGTGCTGCCCTCTATTGTTCATATAATAAACTAAAACGTTTGGCGAGAACTGATGGTGTATAAGAAATCAAATAAAACGGCAAAGAATTTGGTGTGGATAATACTCAAAATTCTTTCCTTATTCAATGCATTACAAATTTAATGGAAAGTAATTTATTTAATGAGAGTAAATCATTTATTTTCAAAAAACTGAATAATTACAATTAAAAAAGAATTAAGTATCTAAAAAAGTACGGTATGGAAATATAAGCAAATAGTCTGTAGCTACCTTCATATTCCACTTATGCGTGTAGCGCAAATAACTTAGGCTTCCTGGTGAGATTAGGTTATTATTTGAAAAATTACCTTTGTTAAGAATGAAACACGACACTTTTTTAATATTTTAGTTTTACAACATAGCACTGAAATTTGAAGACTGAAGTTTAGAAAAAAAAAAAAAAAATTATATACTTACAAATCTAAAAATAGAATATTACTTAAAAACTTTTATGTTCCTGATTATGGCAATAAAGAAGTTATGATAACATGTGTTATAATTTTGATTCAGTTTACAGGATTAAATGTCAAATTATGAGCAATTACAGCAATCACAGAATTTAATGTTCTGTTTTTGAGCTTGTCAAATGTATTGTCTCATCATTCTCAAACAGTTCCCCCTTCGATTACATCATTAATGCTTTCTCAAAACTAAATAATAACCAGTAGCTTTTCTATTAGCATTTTGTGTTTTTGGTTCTTTGTAACATATTGGCTAAATTATTTTTAGAAAATTAGAAACATGTGATATACAGTTTTAGAATAAAAAAATAAACACATTATATTTTAATAAACTGAAAAATATTTGCTTAGATTTTTATGGCCACAGTTTCAGCAGCGGAGATAAAAATCTAACCTTTACATGGTCCCTATAGATGAAAATGTCCAAAAGGTTACACTTTTGCTATGCTTTGACAAGTTAAACGCAAACAAGATCCATATTTATAAATGTTGAATTTGCGAAGATATTCAGGAGCAAATTTATATCACTTTTGAATGTCTAAAGCTAAGCAAAATCAACTAGATTTTTGTTAAACTTAAGAATAAACTGCACAACTAAGTTACTCGCTTTGGAGATTAACGATTCAGTATCAAACAAAACACCACTAATTATAACTTCGCACATAATTTTATGACCGTTAATTACTATACATTTATTTGGAAAATAATAAAATAAACATTACGTTTTAAAAAAAGAAACATTAATACATTTATTTGGAAAATAAATAATATCCAAATAAATGAAAAGTCTATATAAAAAAATAAACATTAATACATATTTTTCCAAATAAATGTATTAATGTTTATTTTTTTAAAACGTTAATGTTTATTTTACCCAATTTTTATGTTTATTTTACCCAATTTTTGTGTTTTTCACATGGATTACATAAAAATCATATTTTGGGTTTACAGAATCTTCTTATCCCCAAAGCTGCAAGTTCATAAAATCCTATCATGTTTGAGAAATTTTGCAGTTGGAAATACATGTCCAGGTTCAACTTGTAACCATCTTTTGGGAATAATATCACATATAATATTCGTATTATAATTATTTTTTTATTATTGTTTATCCAGATTCACACAAGTTCAATAGCATAAGGGTAAAGTGTTTTAAAAAAACTGTGGTTTCTGATAATGCCACTTTTATTCTACAAAACGTAATGTAATAAATTCAAGGCTGACGGATAGTTATAGTTCACAATCAGTAAATCTTTTTCATTTGAAATAGTAAACACATTTTGGAAAATGGATAACAAAATAATAGTGGATATGAGTATAGGTTCTTTGAAAAAGTCTATATAAAAATTTCATCAAAATGTGAGCCAATTTCTGTTGTTATTTCTAGTACTCTTTCTGAGTTTTATTTTGTATGTTATTTCCAATTTTTATTATGCAGTTAACTATTGCCAATTATCAACTAAAAACGCTTGATCCATTAAAAGTGTATGAAGTAGTGTAATAAAATTTTAGTACTGCATTAATTTTGAATATTTCATTTTTTACAGCTAACTATAATAACTGGCGGCAGTGAAGTTCTGCCACCAATCAGTGCCTTATTAGTCCAGCCAATCAAGATCCCTTTCGTTGGAGTGACGTCACGGCTGACTCGTGGCGTAGTAGCAACGATGGTGGACTTTCCCCAGTAGACACCGCCCCTTGTGTTCGTTTCGTTCGTCTCACTTTTAATTTTGCAGCACAATTGGTTCTTCCGTGCGGTAAGAAAACAAATGTTCTAAATTTATTGCTATAATAGCCAATTAGATTTTACTACTAAATGATGCACATAGTTGACAATGATTTTTTCTGTAAATATGTGTAAAAATATTATGCCCTGTTATTTCGCAGAAACTTTCACCGTCACATTTTTTAGAATTTAAACATCTCTTTTTTAGGACCAGAGAAATCCAGTTTAGGATTTCAACGACATTGTTTTCAATATTTAGATAAATGTCCTCTGGAATTTTCTATTTCTTCAATTAAGAAATTTACTTGCATATTTATAGGAAAAGTTACGATAAAGGTGCTTAATAATAGGTTTGTCTTTCTCGAGAGCCGTTAGCAGTGACTTATAAGTCATGGTTACAAAGTCAGCAGTTTGCTGGTTCACTCCATCCAAATTACTGTTCTGCAGCAGCGATAACCATCCACATATCCACATACCGTTCTGCAACGATAACCATCCACATATCCACATACCGTTCTGCAACGATAACCATCCACATATCCACATACCTTCTGCAACGATAGCCATCCACATATCCACATACTGTTCTGCAACGATAACCATCCACATATCCACATACCGTTCTGCAACGATAACCATCCACATATCCACATACCGTTTTGCAACGATAGCCATCCGCACCAGTGATCTATCATCTGTGATCCACACTTACAGAACAGATCACAGCTGTCTTTCACTAGATGGTACTACTATGCTTATTTTCATAGCAATTCTCGAGTACTTCAGGTGGCAGTTTCATACAAAGAAACTTTGAAGGCCAAATTCAAGTAGATAAATCTTCTTCAAACCATCCTCCAAGTTCTAAGTTTCATTGTGAGCCGAGAATATCGCCCATTAACAATCAATCCTTCGGCAAGCAAAGACATATGACATTTTGCATTTTGCGGAATTACTATTCACCCCCCCCCATATGCTAGAGATTCATATGCGAGGATGACCTCATACCACATACTTATCAATAATTGCTTCACGTGATCGGTAAGTCGAATATATGCGAACGTGGTTTTACCATTACGTTCAAAATTAACTTGCAAAAAGGAAGTGTCCATAGATTTTATAGGACCTGTCTCACATTCTAACATTTTGTCACTTCGAAGTAACAGGGTCCTTGCTTCCATAGACCATGCTGTACAATTCATTGGTTCTAGCTTTCAGTTCCACTGTCTTCATATTCATAGTCTCAGGGTTCACGACAAAATATGAGAACTTGGATACAAAAATATACTCTACTGTCAGATCAAATAGAAAAAAAGATGGCAATTGATAAGTTCTTTGTCAAATCACTTTGTGATGGTCCGCAAGATTTCATGCCATGCAATTCATTTGCTGGTTTTTACCAGTTGTTTGAATGGATAAGTGCTCAAAATGTCAGTTGCAAATGTCCTGCCTTTTCGCAGACTTACCTGCGCGTGAATACCATCATTGAAATGCTTACAATAAACTCTTGACATCATTGACTCTTGACATCATTGTAGGCTAGGACAGCAGATTTCCTGCAAGGTCTTCGATACCGCACGAATCATCTTCTGACATCTGTCAATAAGTTATTTTGAAATTTAAATATTGTTGACCCACAGCTACGCTGAGTTGGAAACAAAATCTATTCTTAAATTAAGGGTAGGTTTTTAAACAATTGTAGAGCTAACTGTAACTGACACAGAGCTCATCGGTTACGTGTTCAGCGCAGTAATTCTGCTTTAACAGAGCATAAGGAATTGGAGATGATATTGAAATTCATTTGATTTCCTGTTGAAAATTCAATTTACTTTCTGAGAATTAGGTGATTCCTGCGTTCACTTAAATTTGAAGGAATAACTGTAGGCTTTTGAAATTTAGAGTTTTCGATTTTAGAATCGCATTTTGTGACTGAGAGAACAAATTTTCTCCTCTTTTAGAATATTTAGTCTGAATCATTTACGATGCGCTTGCGAATAGCAGGATTATGCGATTTATTCCCTCCACATATTTCCTTCAACATATTCTTAAACACTTCGCCTTCCTACAAAAATATTTCCTTCTCTTTTCCACTCGAAAGATAAACTCCTTGGATAAACTAACCTTAGAAATGTTTTCTTACCTTTCAGCAGTGTAAAGACATATTTAGAAAACCACCTACTTGTCACCTAGGATATTGAATATTGTCTACATAGCCTGGAGAAAAATTCTTTTGTGTTCCCTAGTATCTCGTCTGAAAATCAGCAAAGACGATCGCCTAAAAGCATCCTTTTTAACCAGCTGTTACTGATGATAGTTAGATGAAAGGAAGCCCGAAGTGCATTCCCGTTTCTCCTCTTTTTGGGTGAACTTTGCTTTGTGTGACCCTGATACAAACCCGCTGCGGAAACGGCTTGACCAAATAAGGTATTAATCACCTTTTTTCATTTTCGCTGCATTCTGGGAGTTGGAAAAGACGAAACAACGAGTGTCTGTCGGGCGTAACGATCCAGTTCACATTTAAACCCAACGAGTGTGTGTCGTTACTGACACCTGAAGACACTTTTCAAATCGGTGAGTCTGTCTCGGGAGAAATAGTGAAGTGGTTAATAATAAAAACTTCTTTTTTCTAGTTAATTTTCCCATTATGACAATAACTAAACCTAAACATCATATTATGAATTAATTATTCAACATATGTGACGTTTTCTTTATAGAATTTTTAATAATAGTAGCCTTAATCTAATTAGACTCAAGTCTCTCTGAAGAATTACCGAGAGCCAATGTTAAATTATAAATATTGTTGCAGAGATGTAAATATGAAATTGATATACGGTATAGAAACCTATATTCAAGTTAAACGCAATATTAAAGTGAACACTGACCTATTTACAAATCTTTCGCATACATCTAACTAAACTCTACATTTTAGTTTAATTTTCAGAGTTTTGAATTGGTGAAAACATAGCCTGAAATATATTTATTTAAATTAAAAATTCATCAGATGCACGATAATTAAGTCTGCACGTCGAATGAAAACGCATTATAATGCTTTGACAGCATGTCAATAATGCATTACGCACATTAGATAAATTACGTTAGTTAAGTTACATAATCGTTTTATAAATGGGAGAAGTTTTAGATAAAAAGCTGGAAGAGAGTAATTACTGTAATGCAGAAAGAAAAGAAATATATTAAACCGAGTATTTTAATATAAAGGTGTAATAATTAATTATAATTTCCATTGTTTGTAAAAAAAATTATTTTTCGTTCGAACTAGAGCCTGTTAAAAACATTTATCTTTTCAACGGAAGGTAAGCATTACAATTAGCAACTTCATAAAAAACTCAAAACATGAATTTTCCATCACTATATATATATCAGATATCTCTGAAAACAATTTATCAGTTTTACACTAATTTTATATTTTTCTGTCCAATGTCTTTCTTAATAATTAATTTACCTTTTATCTTTTTATCTTCCGATTTCACCCTTTGTTCGATTTATCTTTTTTATCTTTCTTATCTTGCTTATCTAAAAATTAGGAATAAACTCCAAGTTAAAAGGGCTTTCCAAATTAAACTAAATTAATATTCACACGTTTTCTTAAGGAAAAGTGCCCTTTTTTTTTTTTCCTCTAGTTCTTCCTGTCCCTCTGTATGTTCTTTCCTTACCTGAAAACATACCTTTATTCGTTTTTATTTACATTTTGTTTGTTTTTATATTTCGATAGAAGTCAATAAAAACAGAGAATTAAGGGTGGTACACTTGATTTTTACTTCCTTTCACGAAGAAAGGAAATTATTGTAGTCGCAAAAGATTGAAATACCCATTTTAAACGTTCCCAAATCTATTTGTACGATTTTTTTTTCCGTGACGTCTGTATGTACGGACAGAATAAAGGACTCTTCTCCAAAATGAATTGTACAGTAGATTTAAAAGTGATTTCTGTGACGTCTGTACGTAGGTACGTATGTATCTCTCATAACTCAAAAACGATTTGCAGCTGAAATTTTTTGTATGGGACTGTTGTAACATCTACCTGTGCACCTGCCCTATGCTAAACGTACTATATATATATATATATATATATACTAGAAAGTCTGGCGGTCATACGAAATGACCGCTGTTCTAGATGTTATAAATTGTAATTAAAATGATTTGCGCAAAAGTGTCTGCTAATTCAAACTGAATTACCCAGGGCAGGCGGCGAGGACGCCCCTTCGCTTACTACCCCACGGCGTTCCCCCTTCTACTTGCTTAATTGCTTAAAGTAGAGTACAATGAAGGAAACCACTGGAGGTACATTTCTTAAAATCCACCGCTAGCTCAATAAATAAAGGTGATTAAAATGTTAATTCACATCTCAAAGATCTCTTTGTACACTTTACATTCCAAACAAATGTTCACGAACTTCTCCCTGAACACGAACTCAAGAACTCTTGCGTTCAGTTATAAACCATTTCAAAAACAGATGATTGCTAATGCAAACAAATGTTCACGTTCGCCCTGACACGCTCAATTTGCTTTCAGCTGAAAATTCAGTTTAAAATACAATGTCGGAATAAAATCGGGCAAAATTTTAAACTCTTTACGCGGAAGGATATTTAGCATAGGAGTTTGGATAAAACTACCTGATGAGATGTACTACGCACAACTCGTTAGTTGGTTTCGTCTCCTTTAATTTCTCAACCTTTGCAAGTTTTCAGGTAATTCATACGTAAATACAGTTAAATGCATTATAAGCAACAATTGTATGAATTAGAAATATTTAAATGTACTTAAATGCCATGCTAGTTTAATTAAAACAATGATAACTGCATGTATGCCATCAGTGTATGTGGACTATTTAAATGCTGTGGCAACTTCACCCCATTGGCTAGTACAGTTACGCAAACAACCAATAAACTATCGGCATCAAACAGACACTTAAGCCGCATATATTAAAGATATATATATATATATATATACATATATATATGTGTGTGTGTTTCGAGATTATTTCTCTTTAAAACTAAAACAGCCAATAATAATTTT